GGAGAAATAATGAAAGAGAAAATTAAAAGAGAGGAGATTGAAAAAATATCAGCCTAAAATTATATCAATAATGTAATTATAAACATATATAAACAATTAATCCAGCAGCATTGAATGGAAGAAAAAGAGGAGGCAATAGCCAGAGGAGAAGAAAAAGAAGAAGAAGAAAAAGAAGAAGAAGAAGAAGGAAGACAAGAAGAAATAAGCCAGGTAGAGTTGTGGGGGTATATATATGGCAACTTACCCATGTGTAGTTAGTCGGTATTATTTTCACCGACAAAGATCACATGGGTAAGTGACTGAGAGCGGGAACCAAAATTTTTGCAATCCGCGCCCAAATTACCGACCAGCTTCTTGTTGGTATGTTTTTGGCGACTTTACCGACAAGATACAAGTTGGAAAGTGATTTTACTGACTAGGAGTACGTTTCTAGTATGGCCGGTAACAATTTAGCAGCTTCCTCTCCAGATTTCGTTCATTTTGCCTAAGTTCCTTTCCATATTTCGTTTTCATGCCATTTTCTGAATTTTTGTAACAGATTTCTTAGATGTTAGTGGACATAAAATTTTAAAAAAATTATCAAAATTCCCCCGTATATATGATAAAAGGTATTTTTTTTTAAATCTACATTTGCAATACTACAATTTTGTGATAAAAAAAATGCAATAATTTAAAATTTATTCAATAGATATTTTGTAATTTGGTCATTTTAGTTGGTATAAATTCTAAAAAAAATTTGACAGAGTTTCCCCATACATATGATCAAAGCCAATTTTTTTTACCTGCATTTGCAATGAAAAACACATATATTCTACAAGTCCAGTATGCTAAAAACAATTATACCTTTTCAACCACAACTACAACCACAAAGTATATAGGTTAAATGCTTAATTTGGTCCCTCAACTTTAAGAAATGAACATTTTTGGTCCCTTAACAATTTTTTACACTTTTTTGATCCCTCAACTATACGAAATGCACTCAGTTAGTCCTTCTGTTAATTTGGGCCGTTAACTCTGCTTAGGTGGCATTTTTTATATTTTTTTTGATGATGTGGAGAGCAAAACTTCAAAAAGTGATGACATGGATAAAACTTTTGCCATGTCAACATGCTACCTGGCGAAAACACACCAAATCCATCCAAATGGGTCCCACATCACCACTAACAATTGCTTCTTTGCCCATCGGAAGTTCGACGGAACCCAGCAAATCTGGGTTCGATGTAATCCAGCAAATAGGTTTCATCGAACCCAGCTCAATTCACTGAACTCAATTGTCCAAAAATCACTCGCAACAACCTGCAATTTGAATAATCTCTTGGCAAACAATCATA